ACAGGTCGGGTTAGAATTTCTAAAATTGGTTGTAGGTTTTTACTTAAGACTAAATAAAAGACTAAGGTAACTACGCTAAGGTTAAGATTTATTAAAAAGGTTGAATTAAGTTTTAGTCTCACAAGATTGGTTGCATATCAAAAACTAGACAATGAGCAATCTCTCTCGATCTACCAAAAGCCGTTGCGCTTTTGGCAGGTATTTTTAAATTAGCATGGTCATAGGTTAGAGCTTATAATAACTTAGAGGTTATAATGTTGGTATAGAGGTTATTATGTTGGTCATAAAGTATCACCTTTGACAATTTCAACTTCAAAATTTCAGCGAAATCTTTTTTATACCTGAAACACATTTATGCACTGGCCTTAACTACATTTCGATAAATTTCCTTTTTGTAAAGTTATGAAAAGTTAAAAACTGAGAATTTTTTCCCGACTTATGTTGTTTGATTCAACGCAACACAGTTAGTAGCGCGAGTATATCTTGCTCACCGACTTTAACCGGCCTCGGCGTCAAAAGTAATTACTGAATAATGTTAATTGCCCCAAAGATAAAGTTTTTAGATTCAAAATTATCTGCTTTGGCTTTTCACTGTAATAGGAAAAAATGGCTGGAATTTAACAAAAAGGTGGAAACTTTACCAATTTCTTTTTTTGAATATTTTATTCATTTTGGGGTATACGCTGCTAATAGTAGTCTTGTTCTTTTTCTATGAGATCACTGCCGAATAAAAGTTTTCTGTGAACTAACTTTAAAACTTTCAAAACTTATTCCAGGCCGTTATTTAGGTTTCAAAAATGAAATTCAAATTAGTTAATGTTGCGCTGATTATTACAGATGATTGTTTTTTGATAATATTTTCATAATTTTTTTCAGATCATGTTTTAGTTGGTTTTTCATTGATTAACAACGAAAAAGAATTTTGCATGAGCATCCTTCATATTAGTCAAACAGACGGCAAAATAAAACAAAAATACTTGAATCGCATAGCTTTAAACAAAAATTGATTTAATTCATGTTATCATCTTTTTTTTTCAGGAGTGACATAAAATATTTGGGATTTTCAAAACATAATTCATAAAAATGGTGATCATAAAACTTGCCAATTTTTTTCCGTAAGGTTTCTGCGCTGCGTCTTAAATTCGTGTTAAAGGGCTTGTCGGACAAAAACTGGCTTTCAAAAGGCATTTATCTGTTGGACAAAATGTTTTACCACTGAAGGAGAGTAATGGTGCATTACGAGGCCAAACTGTGCTTTTTGTGAATTGTAAGCAAATTCCGCAACAAGGACTCTCCTTTTGTTCTTTTTTTGTTCTTTCATGTCGTTTAATTGTTCTCACAAAATTTAAACGGGTTTAAAGACTTGTCATTAGAATCCAGAAACATACAGACACAATATTGTGCACATATCAAGTGCACAGTTTGGCCTCATAATGCGTGATAGTGGATAGCTCCCTCCTTAATTCTACATCTGCTTCACACAATGGGTAAAAAAAAGTAGTTCTTTCTGCCAAGTTTCATCCATTCATTTATTCTACTGTTTGAAAAATATATTGAAGTTATAGTTACTCATTTAGTATTCCGATTTCACCGTCAAACAAAAAAAATTAGAAAAAATTAAAACAAGAGCAAGGATAGACGGTTGCTGAGCTACCCTTACTTTTATTTTTTTCAAATTAATGTCGTTTGGATGGTGTGATTCGAGAACCATCCGGTTGCGTAGAAAATTAGTAAGCCAGGCATGATCGACAAAGTATAAAAATAATTGAAAATTGAATCAATAATAATTGAAAATTAAAAACATATGTATGTAATAAAATAAACTTTTTTCTAACTTTTTGCACAACATTTTACAAAACTTTTCATGCCATACAAGCGCTAAGTGAAACATCCAAAACTAGTTTTTTTTACAGTGAAATCAAATTTTTTTAACTAGAAATCCAAAAAAATTAATAAACTTCCAAACAGCAAGCGTTACTAGGTTGCGTTAATCGCTCGAAATTAGAATAAATCTCAAAATTATCAAACAGCTCTTTCTCAACACTGGGACACTCACTTTGATTTTTTTTAAATATGATTTGATATACGACTAAAAAGGCTTTAGTATGATATATCAGTCAACCATTACGATGATTATTCGTAGTACCTGATTTTGCGTGAAAAACATAAAAGAAAAAAAAGAAAACGCACCCGATTACAAAGTTCCTCCCCATTTTCAAAGGTTGAAAAACAAACTTCCATTATATACAGTGCCAAACATGAAGTTGAAGCTCTTAAGATGATTTTTTTACTTGGCAACAAAAAATTCAAAATTTGAGTTCCAAAAAAGACTTTTTAAATTCTTTCGATAGCAAGTTTTTGTCATAGAAACATTTTCCGAAACAATTTTGCACATTCATTTTTTGAAATTGAGGTTTTCAAAAAAAAAGAATCAAAAGAATGTTCTCTTCTTTGGAGAACCCAGATATGGTTTAATTGTGTTTATATAGTAATGTTAACTTTAGGATGTCAAAGAACAACCGACCACAGTTTCACCCACTGATCATTTTGATGTCCATTTTTTCTAGATCTTTAAAAAACGTAACGGTAATTTGTGAAAAAAAATTGTGAACTTTTACATCTTTTTTGAGATAACAAATGCAGATTATCGGTGTAATTTCTACCACTATTTTACCACTGGGCTTTCCTAATAAAAAAATTCTTTGGTAATTCTGTAGTAATTTTTTTTGAACTAACGGCCTTTAATACCATTTTTATGCATGAACAAATGTTAATCAGAGGTTTACTATAATTTTTTTCTGTACGTCGGCAAATAGAGGAAATTATATAAGGGTATTTTTAAATTATACAAAAGAATGTCTGACTAGAAGTTTTGATCAACCCGGGATTCTACTTCAACCTGGTGTATATTTCTGTTGGTCTATTGCGTTAAAAACTTCTGATACATTTTTTCTAACAAAAAGGCTCTGCTGCATTTCGGAATCCCAAACAAAAACAGGTAAATTAGAGCATAAGGATGAAAAAAATCCAAATCAAAACTATTTCAAACAAGTGATGAAGATCTGCAAACGCGTATAAAAAGAGTAGTTAGGGCCTAGTTGACATCAGAGCCGTCTTCAAAAAAAACAATAACTAAATCAAAAATGTAAAAAAGTTTCAAAAAACCTTTAAATTTTTTAAATTAAATTTCTCAGCCTAAAGGCCCAATTTTGTTATAATGAGCGTTACTTAGTCGATGATGTAACTTGATTGAATTTGATTTTAAACTCAAATTTTCAAGCCGGTTTTTCTTGAAACTCGGACAACGTTTAAGAACTCGTGGCATTCGATTTTGCGTTAAAAAAGTAGAAAAAATCTAAAACACAGAGAAATACATATTTCCTCACTATTTTCAACAGTCAGAACACTTAGAGCAACACACAGACCAAAACTGTGGGCTTCTTGGGTCGTAATTTGAAGAAGGTTAGGTCGGAAAAATGGAACTTCAGGAATAACACAATCCTTTGCTTGTGTAGCGAACTATTCTTCATAGAAAAAAAAAACTTTAAATAAACCAAACACGATGACCAGACGGATTTTTGCACCATTAAAGAAACAAAAAACTTATAAGATTGCAAGCTAGTTAACAGAAAAAAAAGACCGATGCTCATAATTCAGCTAAAAGTTAGGAAAACCTAATAACACTATAAATGATTTTAAAAATAGCAGAAAATTGTTCAATACCAGTAAAATTCAAACTACAGACATAATTGTTGGCGTTAAATCCAAAACATAGCCAAGAAAAAGATTTTTCGATCGCCAGTTTTTGAATTCCAAAGAAAAAAAGATGGCCTTAAAGCACTTTGAATTTAAACAATAATTTTTTGTTGACATTTTTTTGATAAAAATAACACCATTTGAAAACACCGGATCAATAAGGAAAGATTTTATTCCGCTAGGATATCTGAAAACCAAAGTCTGCTTTCGGAATTAGAAGTAGATCACGTTCTTTGTTTCAATTTAAACTAAGTTCTTCGCTCATGGAATTTTCCTTATTTTCAACAAAGAAATTTAACTTAAATACTACAGAACGTCAAACCGCGGAAAATCAAATTTTAGCATGAACGAAATTCAAGACAAAACACTGGAAACAAAATCACCAAGACCTATAGAAGTGTCTTAACTCCGTTCACTGACTCTTTATCAGAAGCAAAATCAAAATTTGAACGTGCTTCTATTAAAACATCGCCAACAGACAGTTTGAAAAGAGTCAATGAATGCAGGTGAACAAAAAAATACTGAACCGTTTGTGAGAAATTCTCAGCTTTCGAAAATAAAAAAATAGATACCATTAAGGCTCTTTGAATTATAAGAACAACTTATTGGATTTTTTTCGATAATAAAGTTAACACATTTTGAGAAAACTGGATCAATAAGTTAATGAAATTAAAAAAAAATCAAATTCCACATCCGAATCTTGAAGTCGATCACGTTTTTTGTGACCTTTACACTTTTGGTGTTCGATAGTAGAGTTTGTTTTCTAAATTTGCCAGTGTTTTCTAAATTTACCAACTGGCATATCTTGTCAATTATTTGTCGCTGCAAAAGCCCTCAGAAAATAAGTGAAGATTTTTACTCATGATCATACCAGCTTTTCCTCCTACGCTTGATGAAATATATCAAAATACTAAGCAACCTCAAACAGGTAAAAAAAAATTGCCACCCCAATAAAAAAATCTGTAAATTAGCATCAGCGTTCTATTTATAACTCGAATTGTGCTACATTCTGATTGACCGATAATTAATCTACTTAACAATTACCCACCCCTTCCTTGAAAGCGGGTAATTAATAAAAAAATATTATTTCCAAGTTTTTCAACAAGGCACAAAAAGCTTGTTTAGGTCTTTTGCGAGCCACTAACGAGCCTTCCAGATACATGAATGGGCCAGGCCGGGCTGCAATGAATACAGCAATTTGACAAGTACGGTCCAAAAACCGTGTCAGCTCAAAAACGCAACGAGAGAGTTCAGTCATAATTTTTTTTTACATTTCTACAATATGTACATTTATATTAGTATACACAGTTCAGTTCGGCGAGCTTTATTCACATAGTGTGTTCGATTCTATTCCTTCGTTTCTCTTTAATTTTAATGCGTGATCACCTCCACTGGGCCATAGTGTCACTTGACATGGATACCACTGGCAGTTCTAGTGTCGACCATAGTGTCCAGTGTCAAGTCCACTTTCTGCATCCTAGTCTCGTCCTCCATGCCCCCTCTAAGTCCATACAAGTATGTCTGTGGCTTGGGAACACTACTCCCTCCCTCCTTCTTAGTCTGTGTCGTGTTCTCTTTCGGCAGATACACTTGGCTCACATTGTCTCTTCGCATGTTGCTTAAGTTAGTCTGCATCGACTTCGTCAACTTCGTCCGCAGATTCGCCTACAAAAACAAAATTAGTATTGATTTTTTTTTAATTTTGCTTAATTGATAGACGCTTGGTGGATCCCAGGTTCCCGTTATGTCCTTTTCAACTCTCATAACCTGATCCTACAATCCAGGGGCGGACCGACCCTAAAATTTTTCTAAAGGCGCCTTTGGCGCCAATATATACTAACTTTGAGGGGGAGCGCGCGCCAAAAAAAACGCAATTTTTTTGTCAAAATTTTTCAAAAAGTGCCCAAAAACGGCTCTTTTTTGACTGTTTTTTCAAAAATTTGCCTGCGGCGCAGAAACTTTTGCCAAAGTACGGGCAAAACAGTGCTTTGGGAGAGCTCGAAAAATCAATTTGGTCGACCTAAAAAAAAAAAGGTCGTCAAAATTTTCGAAAATTTTTTGAAAATCCGCCCCCCCCTCGAGAAAATCCTAGATCCGCCCCTGCTACGATCGTATTTTTTAATAAGACGGAGAAAAAATTCCTTTGGTTGTTTCTCAATATATTTGCTTTATATTCAAGGCACTCTATAACTGTACCTTCAGTGTTTTCTCTGCGCCAAACGTTACCAATATGTGCACTTAGAACTCAATGATCTGAGTTACAAAAAAAGGTAAGCAAAAGATGTTCAAGGCTCTATTAGGTGAGACTCTCTTGCCTTGAAACTTCTTTCAAACACTTAGAATTGATGCACGCTAGCTAGCTGTTACGAAAAAACTAATTCCTATCTCTTTCAACGTAATGCGAACTAACGTCTTTCAATTGTCTGGTACAAAACAGAACACCGACACTTTGTACTGGAGGTAGCAAGAAGGCTATTTTGGTGTGCCTAGTGTCCCGAAGAGACCACTTTTTAACTGACCAATTTAGATTTTTTTTATTTTTGAGCTATTTCTTGATGAAAAACTTATTCAGGCGAGTGACTGTCGTTTAGATTCATCGGCCTAAACCGGTATTTTCAAAAATAGCCAATCGAAGGTTGGAAAAGAGTAATGAACGCAAGTAAATATTTTTAAAAAAAAATCACTGACTTGGTTGAAAAAATGTCAACTTTCGAATTTCAAAAAAAAGATGACTTGCGGTTTTTTGATAACATTAACCCAACTTGAGAAAACTGCATCAACAGGTAAAGTTTTTATTCTGCTGGAAATCTAAAAATTAAACTTAATTAAAATTAAGTGCTCTTTAAGTCACTTTCAGCAGATGACTTTCAATTGAACTTAAAAAAATGCATATATACCAGAGTGCATTCATAAATGCATCAACATGTATGAATGCGCATCTGTAGTTATTAGACTTCTGTGCCGCAATTTAAAACTTTTTTCTGAAAAAAAACACCAAGACTCATATAAGAGTCTACACTACCTTCATTACTCTTAAAAATAGATGGCCTTTGAATTTTAAGAACATTATGATTACACTTTTTTGGTAAACTTTCCAATTTGAGAGAACTGGATTATTAGGTAATGTTTTTTTATCCGATGGGAAATCTGAAAACAAATTCCACTTCCGAAACAAGAAGTCGATCACATTTATCGTGACTTTTATAATTTTGCGCCAGAACAATCAAATTTGAGCCTTAACAACTTTTAAAAACTTAAAAACGCCACCAAATAAGTGAAAACTTTTAAAAAAAACCAGTTTTATTTGCGAGTTAGGTTTTAAAAAAAAGAAGGTTCGTTATGATACACTACGCTCAGCTGTCTAGTGTAAACAGAAGAGTGAAAGAACTAGTAAAAAATTACTGATTAATTTTGAAATATAGTCAACAGAAAATTGAAAAGGAGTCAATGAACGCAAATGAAGAGAAAAAACTAGGTGGCCTTAAAGCCATTTGAATTTCGATAACAATTTATGATTAACATTTTTTCTATAAAATTAACCCAATTTGAGAACATTGGATCCTTCAGTTAAACTTTTACTAAGCTGAGAAATCTGCAAATAAGGTTCCACGTTCGAAACCAGAAGTCGATCACATTTTTCGTGAATTTCACATTTTTTTTGTTCCATAGTGGAGTTTACTTTCCTTTTTTCAATGAAAATGAATAGAACGTGAAAAAAATCAAAAGTCAAACCGCAAAAAAAAAATTTAAGCCTGAATTTTTCCTGCGAAAAAACATCACTACCTATAGTAGTGTCTAGGGGCGGATCCAAGGTTTTCTCGAGGGAGGGGGTGGCGGATTTTCAAACACAGAGGGGAAGCAGAGCTTCGCACCACTTGCGATACAACACTAACATAAAATAAGAACATATAAAAGCCGAAAATGAAACGTTTGAAAAAAACTAGGTCATCTTTCATATGTCTCGATAGAAGTTCATTCCAGGCAAACATGCCAGACACTTGAATTTTAAATCAAGAACAACGGATCAAAATTTCGAAAAGAAAAAAGCCGACAATCTTCGAGCAGACACAAGTTGAGCCGAAAAAAAGTGATTTTTATAAAAAATTGTTTGAAGTCCCACCTTAAACAACAATTGCACTTACAACTAAAACAAAAACTGTTTACAGCAAACGAAAAATTAGTGATAGGGCAACTTAGCTAACAATCTTTGAGCTGAAACCACTTGAACCAAAAAAAATTTCAACCAAAAAAATTTCTTAAAAATATTTCAAGTCCCCCTTGAAACTAAAATGAACAGCACTTGCAAGTCCAACAAAAGTGCATACAGCAAAAAAATCAGTGGCGTGGCACCTAAGCCGACCATCTTTGAGCAGACACCAACTCAAACGAAAAAAAAATGTTTTATGATTTTTTAAGAATCTTTCAAGTCCCCCCTTGAAATTAGAATGAACAACATTTGCACTTGGAACTAGAAGGAAAATTGTCTGCAGCACAAGCAAAATCCGTTGTGGCAAATTAGCCGACAAAACCTGAGCGAACAGTTGAAAAACCAACAATTCATTTTCTCGGAATTATTTCTTCGGTTTCCTTGATACTGAAAAAACAAGATCGGCCACGATTCGAATCCCAGACCTTAGGGTACAAAGGCAACTGCTTTGTCTCCAGGCCAAGGAAGAAGCAACCTGGAAAATTTTAAGAAAAGGTAAGAAGAGATGTGAAGAGAAGATAAGAAGAGAAGTGAAAAGAAGTGAGTAGTTAACCCGAAAAAAGTTTATATTCCAGTTTGATAACGCTTGCTTATCGCAAGCGTAAGGAATTTCGAAAAACTTTGTCGACTTTTTTAGGTCGACCAAATTGATTTTCTGAGCTCTCCCAAATCACTATAAAGACCCAATTTTGACAAAATTTTCGGGTCAGTCAGCAAAAAATGAATATTTCAAAATAGTAAAAGGGGGACCCTTTGGGTCGGCATGGGGTCGAATCCGCCCATGGTAGTGTCGTTTATCGACTCTGTAAAAAAAACCTTTTTGAAAAAACTCTGTGGACTGAAACCTTTTTGAATTTCAAAGATCAGCTGCTGAAATGTAAACCAGAGCAGCGAAGTTCGTCGGCCAAAAGGAAGTATTGAGAAAGAAGGGCCAGATAAACTTTTTAAAAAAAAGCCACAACACAACTCCTACAAAAATCACACAAACAAACTGAAGTGAGTTTCTACTCACGAGTTTGATGGCCTTGCGTCTGAGCTCCCACTCATTCCACTCGTAGTCCTTCACCAGATTGGCTTCTAAAATGTGAGTGTCCGTCTGGCATCCGGCGTCCGCTTTGGTTTGTGGCTTCTCTATCATGCCCCCCGCCCCTCCCTTCTGACTACTGCTGTAGGGTGTGATAGTGGCGAACTGCTGGTGCAGCTCCAGCAGCTGAATCAACTCCGGACTCTTCTTGGCCGCCTCCGCCACCATGAAGATGTAGCTAAAAATTACCTACGCTGTAGTACACTGGCATACATCGTTTAAAAAAGTTCAGATAGAAAAATTGATAAAAATGAACTTTTTTCATGCAGAAGCTAAGAATTTAATGTTTTAAGCCGCATCAAACATCCAATATTTAATAAAATAAATGCGAAAACTTGCAAATAACTCTTAAATCTGTCTGCCCAAACAATTCTTTTTTGGGGGGCGAACTCCCCTCAAAATTAGTATATATAGGCGCCCGCTTCAAAAATAGTATAATTTAAAGTTCAGTCAGCAAAAAGTGAATGACCGAAAATGGTACCAAGGGGGTAGCAAATTCGAAAAACCGTAGTGTCAAGAAATGTTTCAACTTTTAATCTAATTTTGAGCGAAAAATCGAGCGAGAAGGCTGATTATAGGAGGATACGAGAGAAAAAGAAAAACTTATATTCAAGCCCTGAAAACTCAGTTTTACTCCAACTTGTTTTAGCAGTTTTCAGCATCATCTTGGAAAAAAAACTTCAATAATTCAAAAAAATTTCTGCCAAAAATTGAAAATTTTTTTGCTCGTTTGTTTGTTTTTCTCGTCAACTTTCGAAAAAATTGATGTCCAATATGCCACCTTTACCATGAATATCGAACATGCCGTTCTAGGCTCTTTTAGATCCTTTCCTCAAACTACGCACAAAAAAAGACACAAATTTGAAATAAAAAGAAAGTTTTTAGTAGTTTTTTAAGAATTTTGTAGTAGTTTTTTGGAACATTCTGTTCTACTTACACAGCAGCCGGCTACTTTTGTTTTTGTTTCAAGTCTAGTTTTCTTTATTTCTTTATTAAAGATTTTAACCGGTCTGACTAACTCAAGCGCGGTGTTGAGAAGTATAAATTGTTCAAAATCGTAAAAAGTGGAATGCAGAAAATGATTACTCACTTGACGGGGTCTGCAGCGAACTCGTATGCTGCTTCTTTAGATGAGAATGCGTAGTACTTGTCATTGTAGAACAGCACTCCAATTGACGGCACAGCAGGCATCAGGAATCGATCATACTTGACCAAATACCACCCACAGAAACCCTGTAAAAACGAATATTTGCTAACTACAACGATAAGCCGAAAATTATTCAAGAATTTAGTACAATTATGAATTTGGTTTAATCAGAACAATGGTTCATTGAAAACACTTTCAACTGATAATATGATCATATTTGGGACTTTGAGTGGTGAAGTGGTTTCGTCTCGGCCTCTCAATCGAAAGTTCGGATGATCGAGGACCACCATGAGCCGTGCTCGTGGCTTGAGGATGAGGCAACATTACCCAGCCCAGAAAAAATTGTATACATATCTTAACCAGGGGCATAACAGCGGTTCTCCTTCAAGAGCTCAAATGCTCGTTTGTTTGACCTTTCTCTTGTGGATACATCAACGTCTTAATTAGTTCTGTGTATTCGTTTTGATCATTCTTTTCTTGCGACACATTTGTTATACTTGCCCTGTATTGGAGCGGAAGTTTTTCGAAGTTCTTAGTAGTTTCTGGGAATATCCACTCGAACTCTGTGAATGCATTTGGGTCTATCCTAGCTCCTCCCACACCCGCCCCACTCTCCCCTCCCTCCGCATCCCCGTCTTGATCTCCGGTGCTCTGCTGAGGTTGCGAGGAGCCGAGGAGCTCCTTCTGGCGCTGCTCGTCAGACTTCACCTCGTTCAGATCCACAAGAGGACTCAAAATTTCCTCAGTGAATATCTCGCGATGATTCTGCGTACACACAAGCACATATCAAACAAAGAACCGGTTGACAACTTGTTTTTTTTTTTAAAAATTGAACTTTTGAAATTCGAAGGAAAAAATAAATGGCCTTATCTCTTTGGATTTGTAGCACAATTTATGATGGAGAGTTTTTTGTTAAAATTAATCCAATTTGAGAAAACTGGATAAATAGTTACAACTTTTATTTTGCTGGGAAATCTGATAATTAATTTCCATTTTCAAATTTAGAAGTCGATCACGTTTTTCGTGACCTTTACAATTTTGCTGTTCGATAGTGAACTTTGCCTTCTTTATAACAATAAAAATGAACTGAACTTAAAAAGAAATCACAAGTCAACCGCGAAAAATCAAAAGTGAGCGTGAACAAATTTTAAGACTTGTAAAGGTTTTTTTTAAAAAAATTGAACTTTTGAAATTCGAAGGAAAAAATAAATGGCCTTATCTCTTTGGATTTGTAGCACAATTTATGATGGAGAGTTTTTTGTTAAAATTAATCCAATTTGAGAAAATTGGATAAATAGTTACAACTTTTATTTTGCTGGGAAATCTGATAATTAATTTCCATTTTCAAATTTAGAAGTCGATCACGTTTTTCGTGACCTTTACAATTTTGCTGTTCGATAGTGAACTTTGCCTTCTTTATAACAATAAAAATGAACTGAACTTAAAAAGAAATCACAAGTCAACCGCGAAAAATCAAAAGTGAGCGTGAACAAATTTTAAGACTATTCCTGAAAAAAATCCTCAAGACCTATATAAGAGTACTCACTACGTTCATTAATCTTAAAACTAAAAATAATTTTTTTAAAAAAATAGTTTCGTTTATTGTGCATAGTGTGATGAGAGAAGTATAAAACCGCCTAAAAAGTTAGTGAATTAGACCAAAACGACAACAGTTGTCCTATAAAAAGAATAACAATGAAAAATTGAACAAAAACTAAAAAAAAAACATTCAAATACGGATCATATTATTTTTTTGTCTAAGAAGCGCTAAATAAAGCCTTTTAAACTAGTTTTTTTTCGATTTAAAATAACTTTTTTAGCTCAAAACTTTCATAGCCTCGAAATTAGGTTAAAACTCATTGTCAAAAAGTTTTTCTCGACACTTGGACAAATTTTTGGATGAGATAAATCACTCGACCCATTCCACTGTTTCATTGAGGGACCTGATTTCAAGTAGAAAACAAACAAAAATGAAAAAAAATACACCCCCAATAGAAAGTTCCTTCCCATTTTCAACGCTCGGAACAATCAGCAAAACTAAAATCGGCAGTCGATAGACAATCAAATTGGGACTGGCGAGCCCATTAAATCTATACAGGATATTGCCTTAAGGAAGTGATGTTTGCCCAGCAATTAAGAGAAAGCAGATTCAGTATTGCATGTGCAGCAAGATTTTCAAAATGAGCTCTAATAAGATACCCATAGCTAAGTTAAGCTCAAATCATTAACCTCCGGATTGGGCCATCGTCTGCTTAAATAAAAAAAACTCAATGTAAGCTACTTGAACTACAAGAAACTTTTATCGTGAACCAAAAGTCAGTCTTGTATTTTCGCGCCATGTGCACTGTTATAATTAAAAGCGTAATGCGCCTTCCATTTAGCAATTAAATCTAATTACAATTAAGGAAAATGCAAAAGTATCAGGTTTCCCTAGACCCAAAATAAAAAAGGCAAACTTTTCAACAAAAACAAATGGAAGCCAACAGACAGTTGGAAAAGTGCCAATGAACGGAAGTAAACAGAAAAAAAATACTGATTTGTTGTTCGAAAAAAATCTCAACTTTCGAACTTTAAAGAAAAAAAGACGGCCTTAAATCTTGAAATTCTTGATTAGTTTATGATTGACACTTGTTAAAACGCTAGCGCAAAATTAACGCAATTTGACACAGAGGGAAAGGCAAGGGAAAGGAAAGGAAAGGCAAAGGAAAGGCATTTACAGCGAAAGGCATTTACAAAGGAAAGGCATTTACAAAGGAAAGGCATTTAACAAAGGAAAGGCATTTACAGCGAAAAATGACCTCAACTTTCAAAATTTATTTTTGAAAATATTCCCTAACAGCTCTTTGAATTTCCGGAACAATTTATGATTGACACTTTTTAAAATAAATTAGACCAATTTTAGAAAACTGGATCAATAAGTAAAATTTTTATTTTGCAGGGAACTCTAAAAATTTGATTCGATTTTTCGAAGTTAGAAGTTGACCAGGTTTTCCGTGGCCTTAATGCTTTCACTGTTTGACAAGGGAGTTTGCGTTTTTCAACTAAGAAAATAAAGTGAAAATAAAACAGAGGCGAAGCTGCGCGCTTCGTACCACTTGCGATACAAAACCAGAAAGACGCTAAGTTGGAAAAAGATCCAAAAAAATCGAAATTGTTAAAAAAACTAGATCAATCAAAATGAATCAGGCTAATTTTGAAACAAAAACATGTCAGGAGAATAAAATGTGAAAACCGCATAAACAAAATTACCAAAAAACACTGATTTGTTGTTTGAAAAAATCTCAACTTTCGAATTTCAAAGAAAAAAAACGATGGCATTGAAGCTCTTTGAATTTCTAGAACAAATTATGATTGACCCTGTTATGATAAAATCCATGAATTATGACCACATTGAAAAAAACTGGAACGATAGGTAATCTTTTGATTTCGCTGGGAGATCTGAAAACTAAATTCCACTTTCGAAACTATAATTCGATCACGTTTTTCGGAACCTTTATACTTTTGCTCTTCGATAGAGGTTTTTTCTTCCCTTTGAACAAATCAAATGAACTGAATTTGAGAACGAATCAGAAGTCGAACCGTGAAAAAGTACATTTGAGCCTGAAATTTTAAAATTTTTCCTGAAAAAAACTCAGAGCTTGAGCTACGTTCATTGACTCTTAAAAAACCGGCAATTTTAGAAAAATCCTAAATTGTACGCCATCTATTTAGTTCGACTAATTTCATGAAAAACTTGGTGAAGTTTTCAAAAAACAAACTTGATGAAACCATAAGCCAAACAGTTCCTTGAAAGCCCGAATATTTAACTCTGGTGAACTAAAACATTAACTTTCCTTTAAAACTCCCAAATAAGTAGCAAAATAAAATCTGTAGATGCTTTATAGCTCTTTTTTCCTACCAGTAAATATCAAGATGGTATATGGTTAACAAAGCGTAATTAGTTGGCATGCCAACTTTTGTAGAGAGGCGAAGTGGAGCTCAGCACCACTTGCTATAAAACTTAAAAAAACTTAAATCGAAAAAAATGATAAATGTTTGAAACTAGGTGAACCAAAATTTACGAATGTGTCAATAAAAGAAAACAAGGGTACCAACTAAAGCTCGAGGTAGCAGTTTGATATATTTTGAATTTGTTATATTGATGCCAGATGCAATAAAAATTCAAAAATTGGACACTTCCCAAAACATTAACAATTTTTGAGATTTTTCCAAGGACATGACATTTGGATACAAAAATTAAGAAGTCACCGCTTCTGCGGGAATGATTCTCGCAATCAGTCCTTTCGATTGATTAGGGTAGTTTTTTAGTTTCTAAAAAACGGTCAAAAGTTCAAAAACTGACTTTCCAAAATCCTGAACTCTATTCTGCTATAAAAAAAAAGTCGTGGCCGCTTAACCAGAGAAGGTTCATAAAACCTTGTTCTCCATTGTACACTTAACCTAAGAAATTACAGGGTAGTTATCAAGAAAAATTGTCTGGAAAACGGTCAACAAATCGAAAATATTACTTTTCCGAGAATTATAGTTTTTGGTGGGAAAAATTTTGGGCGTAGCCGCTTTGACATTAGAGATTCACACAATCTGTTTTTCAATTGAACCCAAAACCTCAAATTTGGGAGGTTAGTTTTCGAGACCAGTTAAAGAATTTCAAAAAACGTTTAAAAATTACTTTTCTGAGGGCCATAACGTTTTGCGTTAAAAAAAATTGGGCGTAGCCAATTACTCAACCCATAATATCCATTTAAATTTTTCGAAGGTTGTAGACAGTGGAGAAAATTAAGAACGGAAAAGGGGATTATGAAGGCATAGGGGAATAAAGGTCCTTTCCATTGATATTCCATTTTTGAAAATCAGTACAATCCTTTTTTTAAGGAAAACTATAACTTTTTGCAAAAAAAAAGAAAAAATTTTCCAGAGCGTCTCAAAACATGAAACAAAATTAAAAAGCCAATCACACACATTTTCATAATACCTGTTTTTATCAAACATAAATTCTAGGCAAACATGCCAAGCAAGACATTTGACTTTTAAATTAGCAACAGAACAAAATTAACAAAGAGAAAACGAAACCGACAATCTTTGAGCCGAAAAAAAAAATTATAAAATTTTTTTTAAAATTTAAGTCGCCCTGAAACTACCATCAACCATATTTTCACTAGCGACTACAAGGAAAATTGCTTACAGCACAAATAAAATCCGTGATGTGGCAACCAAAACGACAAAACTTAGGCTTTCTTTTGTCGACCGGAAAAAAGTTTCAATTGCATTCAATTTATTGAGAAAAACAAGGTTTGTCCGCAACTGGAACCCAAAACCTTAGGGTGGGAAAGCGACGGCGCTACCTTTAGGCCAATTGGGAAAGAGCCTAAAATTTGTTAAGATTCAATAAAAAAGCAAGTTGAAAACATGTAAAAGTTGTTAACGGGAAAAAAAGTCTAGCTACAGATTACAAGACGATTGCTCTCGCAAGTGTAAACAATAGGACAATCGAACAGAAAAATTTCTCGCAAGGACTCGCAGGTAGAAGTTATATGAAATGTTTAACTTTTCAAAACTACAAACTACGGAAACTTTGTGTTGAATTTTCCCTTGTGTTGAATATTGATATTGAATATTCTGAATTGAATTAAGATTCTGAAATTGAACTAAGAATCGATAATAAGACACCAATAGTGACTCACTTGTGTGAATGGCTCTAGACTGTTCATGATGTTGCTGAGAACTGAGAGCAACACCATCTCGTCCTGGAATCCAGTCCAGATGTGAGCCAGATTGATGAACTGTGGCTGTAACACACATAACAAACAATTAATACGAGGCGAATCGAGGCGTCGCAAAACTTCCAATTTCACAATAAAAAGTAAAATAAAACATACCCAGTACAAAAAGACACTATTTGAATGACATCTCGGCCATAACAACAAAAAAATTAAATAATGGCAAGCAAAAACCAAAACATTTGGAAAAAATCTATCAAGATTATCATCGCTATTGAACATCCGCCCGTACTTTTTTTTGCAAATCAACAGCGCGTATTTCATTAATGCATAAACGAGGAACTCAAAAAAATATTTCGAATAAAGTAAGGACCAGATTTCGACAACGAGTGTGATATGAATGAAAAAAAGATGATCTGAAAAAATCAAGCCATTCAGTTGATCTAAATCTCGAAACCACTCGCTAACTGGCCTTTTTGGTTTTCTTCCAAGATGGGATTTTTTTTATTGCTTTGAGTTATGTGAATAATAATCGAGTCTGTTCCCTTCTTGAAAACGAATTATTAATTTTATGAACAACTTATGATTGACAAATTTTTGATAATTCGAGAAAAATGGATCAATAGATAAACTTTTATTCCGGTAATGTGTACTTTTTGAGGAAATGCATCGCTGAAATTTGCAAAAAAGAACGATAAATTTAACGGGTAACTTTAACTAACGGTTAACGGGTAAATTTAAACCTAGATTAAAAAAAAATGAGGAGATTTAACTTTATCCTTCGATTTATAGAGAACGATTGCAGAAATGACAAAAGGAGACGATGACCAAGAAGCCGAAAATGCAACGACAACAAAAAAGACCATCCGACCGAGAATCGAACCACATATCTTCGAGGCCACCTGCACGCGCTTTAAAATTACTAACATAGCCAACAGACAGTAAGAAAAGAGTCATAAACGCAAGGATCAAGAAAAACACTGACTTACAAAGGAAAGTCATTTACGGCGAAAAAGGCAAAAGATGGCCTCAAATTTAAAAAAATATATTTTTAAAAATATTCCCTAACAGCTCTTTGAGTTTCCAGAACAACTTATTATTGACACTTTTTAAGAGAAATTAAACCAATTTGAGAAAACTGGAGCAATAAATAAAATTTTTATTTCGCTGGTAACTCTGAAATTTCGATTCCATTTTTCGAAATTAGAAGTCGATCAGGTTTTTGTGACCTTTAAATTTCTGCTGTTCGATAGCGGAGTTTGCCTTTCTTTTAACAATGGAAATACACTGAACTTAAGAAGAAACCACAAGTCAAACCGCGAAAAATCAAAATTGAGCGTAAACAAATTTTTTTTTGAAAAAAAAAACACAAGACCTATCTAAGAGTACTCACTATCTTCATTACTCTTAAACACATCCAACCGACAGTTGGAACAGTGTCAATGAACACAAGCACCCAGAAAAGAAATACTGATATTGTTTGGAAAAATCTCAACTTTCGAACTTCAAAACGGCCTTAAATCTCCTTGAAAATCTTGATTAGTTTATGATTGACGCTTGTTAAAACGTTAGTGTACAATTAACGCAATTTGAGACAGAGGGAATAATAGGTACATTTTTTATTTTTCTGAGAAATTTGATAATTAAATTCCTTTTTCGAAATTAGAAGGCAACCACGTTTTTTGTGACGTTTCCGATTCTTCTGTTCGATAGTGGAGCTTGCCTTCCTGTTAACAAAGAAAAGGCATTTACAGGGAAAAAGCCGAAAAATGACCGCAACTTTATTTAAAATTTATTTTTAAAACATTGCCTAACAGCTCTTTGAACTTCCGAAACAATTTATGTTCGACACTTTTTAAAAGAAATTGAACCAATTTGAGAAAACTGGATCAATCAGTAAAATTTTCATTTCGCTGGGAACTCTGATAATTCGAAGCTGAGCTTCCTACAACTTGCGATACAAAACCAAGAAAGAAGCTAAGTCGGAAAAAAATCCAAAAAAATATCGAAATTGTCGAAAAAACTAGATCAATCAAAATGAATCGGGCTAATTTTGAAACGAAAACGTGCCAGAACAAAATGTGAAAATCGAATTAAAAAAATTACCAAGCGAAAACAAAGCGGAGAATACACAAGCAGAAACCCTTTTAAGCCGAAAAAATCAAAAAGACTTTAAAAAAGTTAACAAGTCCCACTTTCCCTCAAAACACACACACTCACATACAAATATTTTTTTTCGCTCGCCGAAAGATGGAATATGAAGCCATCAAGCCAATATAATTTGGGCCCGAAACCTATCAAATCGAAAAACAAGAAAAAAGTCAAGATGGCTAGTCTCTTAGAAATCGCAGGTGACGGCACTGATACTCGCACTGTTGAAAACAAATGGCAGGCACTGACATTAAAAAAAATATAGCATTTTTTTGGCTTTTTGACCCAACAAGAGCTGCTCATACTACCTGAAAAAAAAATTAAAACTGAGTAAGCATGCAAAGATTTTTGGGCGATAAAAAAAAACTGGCACTGATATTCATTTACGGGCACTGACAGATCACACTTCGCACTGATTTGGCACTAAACGCACTAATACCGTGGCCACCCTGCTATTATTTCTAGAAAAATTTTAGATTTTAACTTGAAACGACTCAAAATAAGGTCACTAAGCCGATAAAATATAAGCCGAAACCATTTAGGCAGAATAATATTTTTAAGCAAAAAAACAAAGAAAAATATACGAAGCCAAGAAATTACAAACAGCAGAAATAAATCAATATTAAAGCAACTACAATGTGAAAAGCGTACAGCAAAAAAAAAAACAATTATAGGATGTGGCACTTAAGCCGACAAAACATAAGCAGACAATTAAAAATCCGACAATTTTTTTAACGGAATATTTCCGGTTTGAAAAAAGGTCCTGTCAATCTCGAATCCAGGACCATTGCAATCCCAAGCATATTACTATCAGGCCAAGTGCACCGGAGACGCAAAGAAATTTGAATTCAATATGACCTAAAGCTTAATTTACCATTTTTAATTTTGGCCATTCTGTGAACAAAGTTATGTAAGGGAAAAAATTCTTGTACCCGATTGCAATACCCTTGCTTATCGCATGGGTAAAGAAATCGACAAACCGATAAAAAATCAGGACGACCTATTAAAAAGTATTCACTGCGTTCATGACTCTTTAAAACTAAGCACTAGTATCAAACTAACTAAGTTTTGATATGAAGCAAGCTCAATTTCTGATAGAATTGCAAGAAAAGTTGTTCAATGGAAAACAATCTAGGACCCAGTTACAAAACACTTGCTCTGGGAACTGTTACAATCTCTTACACTTATTTCAGTTCAAATACAGTTACCGCATCAGTAATTCTTGAGACTTACTCCTGAGCGACAGGGCTATTCTATCATTTCTGCAATCTGTAATATATTATGTCAAAATTTCCATGCGTTTTTTCGCGAAGTCCATTTGTATGAAGTTTAACATGCACTTTGTTTGTCTAAGAGTAAAAACATTCCTCATGAGAAACCTTCTAAAAATCCAAATAAAAACTGGAAATGGAGGTGAAGCTGCAACTTTGTAAACACAAGCCAACAAAAATGGCAAAAATAGCTCTAAAACGGTCAAAAAGTGAAAATGGAAGGAAAAGCTTAAACTAAAAAATCTGCTATGTACCGGAACGAAACCGAGCAGTTTTACTTAGGATTTGAATTGGAGAAAAAAGTGTATATCAAAATATGACAATACGCTGCGCTGGGGTAAAAAGTGCGGATCTACTTAACAATCCCCCCTTCAACAAAGGGGGAGATTGTTAAATCGATTTGTTGCAGTGAATTTCCGACCAATCAGAATGCGGCAAAATCGAATTTACATACAACTCTCTAGTGCGAATTTTCTGTTTTTTTTTCACAGGGGAGAGATTCTTCAGTAGATACAAAAGGGGGGGGGGGGTTGTTAAGTAGATCTAAAAGTGCTAATAGACTAGGATAAAATTCAATTGCAAAAGTTTGTTCACTTTCTCTGTGATGGATAAGATTGGCAACTACAACTTACGTATACTTGTGCGGTGGGCACAGCTGTTCTAGCTTGGACTGTTGCTTGCAGCTGTTCCAGTCTCTGGGCCAACTGGTTCTGCAGTGCCTCAATGTGGCCAGCACACCCTATTACGTCATCCTAAGCACAGACACAAAAAATAACACCCTCCACGAACACAGAAATCTCTGGTTGTTAAATCTGAGTGGATACGTATAATGCTGGCATATGATTGATAATTTTATTCGTTGTAAAACATCCAAAAGCGTTCAAGTTTACAATTTGTAAGAAACTAAGCAAAATTCAGCTATCGGCATAGTCTGCCCTTCTTAATTGTCGGCTCCCCGCACCACAAGTGAGTAAAATCTTTATTTCGCTGGGAAACCTGAAAATTAAATTCCACTATCGAAACCTTTACACTTTTGCTGTTCTGTAATGAAGATTTACTTCCTTTTAACGAAGGAAATTTTAACTTCACATAAAAAAAGAATCAAGAGCCAAACCGCGAAAAAAAAACGACTCTAGAGCCAAACCGCGAAAAAAAACGAGTCTGAATAAATTTTAAGACTTTTCGAAAAAAAATCATCACATGTGTAAAGAGTCTGGACTATGTGCATCGACTCTTAAAAAAGCATAGGTTGTGCTAGACTGTTTGTGACATGCGACTGACCCTAAGGATGTTGAGGAACTGTTGGTGTTGTCTGCTGTTGACTAGGGAGTCCTTGATCAACTGCAGAGGGGGTCCCTCTTTCAACAGTCCCTGGTGGATTCTCTCGATCACTGCAGTGTAGGTGCATGCCACACGACTACTGTCCCCCATTGCCGCATCCACATTCTTCATAGTGGCAGGGATTGCCTCGTTCAGAATCGCCGGCAGATCATCGATGCCCTCGCCTCCCTTCCCACAGTCTTTATTGAACAGACTGCAAACAAACAACAGAAATATCGATAAAACTAATAAGTAATTTACAATTCGCAATCAAATATATGTGATTTTTGAAAAAAAAACCAAATCAAGCGGTAGTTCTAAAAATCCGATTTAAATCAAACATTCAATAGAATCTAATTTTTTGCAACCCTGCCTAACAGATTGCCAAAAAACTGAGTCTGACTAAATAAACTTTTTTAAGTCTTTTATGGATAATTTTTAAGCTCGAGAACGGCAAATTGCTCAAGCAAACGAAATAGGCTGACACAACGGTCCGAATGGTCTAACGACATTCTCTCGAGCTTGAAACTAAATAGTAACTTGAACAACAACTGTTTTTCATCAAGGGTGCGACAGAAAAAACTACAGTTTTTTAAAAACTACTTTAAAAATTCCAAAAATTGTCCTATCAAATCTGTCCAGTTCCAATCAGAGCAGATTAGTAGTTCAATAACTTCAACTCCATTCTACTCTTCTGCTGTTCTAACCGTATGCCTGTGACTATGAGGGTGAGTTCGTTCAGCTGTCGCTCCTTGTCCCTCTTGGTCAAATTCATGAAAGTTCCCAACTCTGCCTGTGGAAACACACTCTGCAGGGCGGCTGAAAAGAAAACATAGCAGACAGATAATTGGAAAAGGATCTCTTCAACTATCCTGCCCCCCTTTCACACACACACAACCTTTGCAAAAGGGGGAAAATCGTTACTAGGTACTATAGGGAGAAATAGTTCGTAAGATCCCCGTTAACAAGGCTAGTTTTCATTTAAAAAAACAAGCCAAGAAAATGGACCGTGAAATAAGCATCGGAAAAAATACCAAACGGTAACAAAGCCGAAAAATACCTTCGCAGAAACACCAAGCCGAAAAACGTCAACAAAACTTAAGTTAATATGTCCTCCTTCCCCCTCAAAACACAGTCACGCACATACAATATTTTTTCGCTCGCCCAAAGACGCAATATGTCCTTAAAAGCGATATAATATAAGCCAAAACCTATCAAGCCAAAAGAAAATGGTTGTCATGGAAAACTTGAACCAGAATTTCTATTAAGATTTTTAGCCTTTTGTGCGATCCAGAGGTGAGCATAAAAACTTTGTTTTTCTTGAAACAAACCGAAATTGGGTCCTTAAGCCAATAAAAATAGGCCGGAACCATTTGGCCAGAACAGTTTTTTAAGTGCAAAAAAAAAGAAAATATAACAAGTCAAGGTTAGCAAAATTACAAACATCAGAGGTAAATCAGAATACTAAAACCAACTATAATGTAAAAAAAAAACAATTCTACAATGTGACAACTAAGCAGACAAAACATACGCAGACAAATAATGAGCCGACAAATTTTATGTGAAACTAAATATTTCCTGTTTGAAAAAAAAAACAGATCCTGTCAGATTCGAACACAGGACCTTTGCCGTCCCAGGCGTATTCGTTACTTCCACAGAAAAGGTGCCGGAGACAAAAAAAATAAAATTGATTAGGAACTGAACATCGATTTACTATATCTAATTTTGACCATTCTGTGCCTAAAGTTTTTACGGGAAAAAGTTCTAGTACCCGAATGCAATACCCTTGCAATCGCAAAGGTAATAAAACAAATTACTGCGAAATAATCAAGTATTTATTATTCTTGCGTACGCTTGTTTTCTCATCTCAATTCTGATTGGTTCATAATGATCATGAGCCCTTCTTATTTGAGATAAGAAATCAAACGTACGTGATTATATCATTTTCTACAAAATCCTTTTACAAAGTGCGGATTTTTTTTGGTAGATCACCCGTAGACACAATTTGTTGGTTTTCAGGCGTCTAGCATTTTTGAACTTTCCCGTAATAAATTTCAAAATTTTTAAAATGTTTCAATTTTAAATTCTCCACTCCGACTTGTATGCTGATGTTCACAAACCTGATTATTCTTTCTAATACTAGATATCATTGAGTTGTTTCAAGTAAACTACAGATTTAAATGGAAAACTCTAAATAAAAATATTTAATGATATTTATTAATATAAATATTAATTTATGTTAAATTAATGAATTAGCTTCAATCGAGCAGTCTTCAAGTGAGTAATTTCAACACTTGCAGTCTATTTAAAGATTTTATTCCTTTATTCTTCATTACATCACATGTAATTTTGTTGTTACATTCTACGGCTGTCCACTCAATTTAACTAGTTTTTTGTAAGATTCTCAGGAAATCTAAGCTAGGAGGAAATACAATTTAAAAGTCTTCTTGTCCTAGCCCAAAGCCAAAATTTTGAAACTTTATTGCAATCAATGAAAGTTTTCAAGCTCCGAATCTTGATCTAAATATTTTCAGCAAATTGACATATTATTTATGAACTCCTTCCTCGCATTTTACCTAATAGTTTCAGTAGTTCATCATGGAGTTCCGTTGCTCTAAAAGTTGCCTTTCATTTTGTTTAACTGACAGACTGCATTTTTTAAATACTTAAATTTTATTTAACGGTTTGAATTTTCTAATCACCGATTTAGAGAAGAACAATCGAAAAACAGTCGAAAAAATTTATGCCCTTGAAGCTCTTTGAACTTCACGAGCAATAAGTTCGGCTTTTTTTAAATAAAATTAATCGGATTTCAGAAAAATAGAAGAACATGAAACTATGAAGAACAATACCTACACTTGCAACTGCAATTGAAATTACTTACAGCACAAGCAAAATGCGACGTGGCAACTGAGCCGACAAAACTTATTAGACAAATGAAAGTCCGATAGTTCATTTTTTACCGACAATTTTTTTTCAATTGCATACATACTGAAAAAAATCCGTCTGAGATTCGAAAGCACAGGCTTAACGGTGCAAAGGCAAAGGCGTTACTTCCAGTCCAGATGGGAAGGAACCTGGAAGATGTAAAGGCTCAATAATAATGCAAGTTGAAACTTTTTAAGAACAGATGTTTACGGGAATAAAGACTAGTTCCCTATTACAAGACACTTGCCATCGCAAGTGCAATAAAATGAACATTGCTAATTATTGATGATGTCACAGACATTACAATTCTCTCCTTTGAGAAAAATCACTCCTGCCAAATTCACTTGACATTTTCATCGATGTTACTGACGGCCTCAAAGCGTAGCCCTGTGTCTTTGGATGGATATGTGGAACAATCCTAATTGAATGAGGTACCAGGAAAAGAATTTCATTTTGCAGCAGGACATCATTTTTGAGCATCAAGTCACTCATACGCGTTATATGTTTCAATTCCGAAATAGATATACTTTTTAGTGTACATCCTCTGTAGATTCGGCAAAATTGGATGGTTTGTATCTTAAGGAATAAGTCTGGTTCAGTTCTAGGGAGCGCAACTCGAAGTGATCCAGACAAAAAAAAGCTTTGAGACAAGGCTTTTGCGTTGTTGTTTTCTTTATAAATCGTTAGAAGAAAGTGAACTTAAGCTTATAATAGCAGAAACCGATATTTAGGTGGACTCATCTGAGTTGATTAACTTCAATATGCAAGAAATAAATATAACATCTGCAAATATACGAAATGCAAAACCTGAACAATGAACCACTGATTAACTATTCAACTATAGAAAATTCTATATTTAAAAAGTCAACAATAATACAGGAAGAAAAGTATTCCTGACAGAGCACCTTGAGAAATTTTAAAACAATAAAACCGAACATAGTCAACAGATGGCTGGGGAAGTGCGAGAGCTCTCAAGCAAATCAAAACAAGTTGATTGAAAAACTTTGAAAATTTTTCAACTTTCGAAGAAAAAACATCACGTTAAACCTCAATGCATTTTAAGAATTGAATATGATTAGCTCTGTTTCCTAAAACTATCACATTTTTAGAGAACAAAATCATTAGAAAATTTTTATTTACGCTGGAAATTCAGAAAATAAATCCCTTACTTATTTTTCAAACAAGAATTCATTCGTTTTTCTTGACCTTTACACTTTTGTTGTTCGATAGTCGAGTTCGCTTTCTTTTTAACAAAAAAAAACGATTTTTTAAATCAAACCGCGAAAAACAAAAACTTGAGCGTGAACAAACATGATAACTTTTCTGGAAAACGAAAAAAAATATATAATAACTACGACCTATACACAGAGGCGGAATAAATCTCATGTCAGTAAAAATCGGCTGTCTCAGATTCAATCTACAGATTTTGAATCTCACGCACTGACCATTCAGCAAATGAATCACAAACACTAGCCATAAATAAAGCAGAGAACAGATGCTATAAAATTTCCAATGCTACAGATTGTGATTACAGCAAAATTGTCACCAAATAAATGAACTTTATTAATGAATATTTTTATTTGCGAGGTAGGTCGGAAAAGAGGAGGTCCGTACTAAAACACTACGCTCTCAAGCTCTCTTGTGTAATAAGCGACAATCACTTCCTTTTTTAGACTTGAAAATAACTAAAAACTATTTGCGACTTTGGTTGGGAACAACAAGAAGATGCATACAGTTCCACTATGCTCGCATTTATTAAAAGCAAATCATGGTAGAATTTGTTTTCTGTGTAACATTTATTATGCCTTACCAGTTGCCTCTCGCACTACTGCGATATCCGTCGGCGACCCCAGTCCAGAGCGGAGCAGGATGGCGGAAACTATCTTGCGGTAGAGCGCCTCCAGTTCCTCTCTTGTTCTCGCCCGACTATCCGTGATCTCCCGTATGACAGGCTGCATCCTCGCGTCCAGAACCCTCCTGTGCTCGTCCAGGAAGTCCTGTCTGGTGGTGTAGTTCATGTCAAAGTACACCTGCATTTTTATCGTATCCAGAGAGGGCGAACGAGAGTCAAGGATGCGAGACACGCAGATCTGCACAGAAAACAACCAGCATAAATAATTGCAACACAGCTCAGCTCATATAGCTCAAAACAGTGTTGGCGCATTTGAAGACAGTTTCCGAACAAGCTCCATATGGGAAACTAGCCTTCTACTTGTCTGATACATGCATCATCCTGATTATGAAAGTAAAAAAACTCGCAAAAAACGCTACTTAATATCAAATTTTTTGAGTTTTGAATATGAACCTTCAAAAACTTAATCTTTTAGAACGAAAACTGACCTGTATGAGTTTATGTACATCGTCTTTTGTGAGAGTTCTGTCAACATTGAAGTTATTCGCTGGGTCCAGCACAACAGCTTTAACCAAGAAAGCAACAAGGGTTTCACTCACTGCCTGTCCTTTGCTTGCACATTCCTGTGCTATTTCTCGGATGATGTTTTTGATTACACTCTCTGCTTGAGCTCGAGACATTTCCGATTTATAATCTACCAAAAGCAGTAAAATCTAAAATGGTTCAACGAAATGTAAGCAATGAAAATACACAAATATCAACACGGCCAAGAGTAGAAAAAAAAACAGAGAACAGGGAATCTATATTCAAAAAATATAGATTAAAAATGAAGTGTATTAACAAAGCTAAAACAAAATAAAATAGTCTTATACTCTAGGATTTCAAAGATAAATCGTTATTGGTCAGATAAATTTACATTTATTCTACGTAATAGCCTAATTGTTGTGATAAACTTATTAAATAGTTTCATGTGATATGATACGCTGATAATGGTACGCTTGTAAGAAGAAGGCCCGGTACGGGATTTTAGAGACAAGCTCGTCAAGCAGCGATACTCCCCCTCAACCCGGACATCTCCGCCTGAACCTTCACCCGTGAAAAACCAGGTTGTAATCGCTTTCATTTCTTTTTTGATATTTGTTTTTTAAATCCATTTCTCTACAATCCATTTTACAATCTATTCTTTCTCTTGTTTTCCCTCTTTTGTACCTTGTTTAGTGAATGTTCGTGCCGAAGTACAGGCCGAAGTGGCTACCCAAGTGAAGCAGGAAACTGGTATTAGTATTAGGAACCTCAAGGACCAAGTACTGCAGCCCCAAAGATGTCGGAGCCACTGTTCACTCGTACAGAGTTGCAAAGCTAGCCGACCTTGCCGCTACTGTCTTGCGCTACCCCTCGCAGAAACTGAACTGTGTTACTATAGTAGCCTGATTTAATGATAACTCATCTACGGTTTCAGACTTTGCTGATGATTGGAGATTTTTAATAAATTTGATAATTCATAAGTTTAACCCAAATGTGCTAATTATCCCCAAAACCATCCTCTCTGCAAATAATCACTTCACAAACAAAAAAATTGATGATCTAAATAACTTTTTGTTACGCCTTATTAATACATTTTACCGCTCAAGAATCCGAATTATTTCCCCCAATCTAAACGTTAATTTTAGTGCTAATATTTTGTAAAGATGGTATTCATTTTTCTTTTTATGGTAATAAAATCTTCAGTTTATTGCTCGCTCAGCTAACTTGTATATGTTCACCATAAATTTACCCTCCTCGCTGCCATATTATGGCCAATCAAACGCACTACCATATTTGCAAACGCCACCTCCGAAAAGGAGGCATTTCGTGTGTCATTTGCAAAGCTTACATCCATGTCTCATGTAGCGGGCTACAGAGCAGCAAATTTTATTACGAATGGTTCTTCTGCATACAATGCACCCCCGAGAATTTTGCAAAAAAAGCCCAACTCCACCAACAGACCAACAAGCACAGCCCCCATCTCATGTGACATTCGACCAGAATGAACAAAAATTCAGATTCGGCGATTTCGAATTATAAGCAGCTAACCTTCCAAATTAGTAGTTTTGGAGGATTAACAGTGTTATTGGAACGATTAGTCAAACTGTGAAGGCTGGATTATTCTGATATTTCAAATTTGAAAAATTTCGAAGTATGACGTCATATTTCTGAGAAACGTCAGAATCGGCCTTTGTGGGAAAAAAAGTTGCGATAGTGATATTTACGAGAATTGCGATAGAAAAACAACAACAAATAGCAGATTTAGCAGAGACCGTTCCGAGCTGCAACGATTGTGTCGCTAAAATCGTTGCAAGGCCGTTCACAACAACGGTGAAGGGTAGAAAAACAGCCTTCCGGAAAGAAGATCAGGTTGTTATTTACCCGGATTCAGGAATCCGGAGGGGTCTCGGGATTTGAACTGAAACTGTTTTATATAAACTTTTAGCTTCCCAGTTATGTCTTGAATTGAATTTATTTAACATCTGAAATCATTTTACGACGATGAGAAGCTAGGGGGAAAGGGTTGATCCATCTTCGACGGAGATGATGATTTTTATCTAATGAACAATAATAAAATGATAAGTATTAGTAGCCCTGTTTTTAGGAGTGACCTCGTGGTCTGGGGATACTGAGACCCAGCCATGAGTTCACTAATTTTGCATGTAATTAAGCTAATTTGATCGTTCTGGTCGAAACCGGAGAACAGTAACGTTTTTGTCGACCCGATGTTGAAAAGACCACCAAAAGAACTGGCTTTGGTAGAGACGGTGAAAAGCATGTAGAGCTCTGGTTAGACGCTGGCCAGTCGTCTTAGAATCTAGCTTTATTTTCCGTCGATATGTACTTCCGGGCGAATGTTACATAGATGTTTTTATGGCGCTTCTGGGTGTTATTCTTTTTTAACATCATGACCGGCAGAACCGTTAACGAGCACTCCGCGCCGAGCGGATGCTCATAATAACGCTCTTAATACGCCCTAACCTCCGGGGCGGAAGGGTAGTTCGGAACCCGAAAGTCTTCCAGATTACCGTGAATAGCTTTTTAACCTAGTTAAGACCGAAAATTCACGTTCCAGGAAGGGTGGGGGGATTGGCCGTCCCCTCGTTCCCTGAGAGGTTTGTGACCAAAAACACTTAAAGATATATATAATATATATATATATATATATATATATATAATATATATATATATATATATATATATATATATATATAACCAAACAAAAAGTAGTATAGTACCCAAGAAAAACAAAAAACATAAAAATAACCAAAAAAACCAACAAGCATATATATATATAACCAAACAAAAAGTAGTATAGTACCCAAGAAAAACAAAAAACAAAAAAAATAACTCAAAAACCAACAAGCACAGGCCCCCATATACAACACAAAAAGAAACATCACCATCAACACCTGAAACAAACGTACTGCCCATTGCCACACAATGTTATCAATCGCCCCCAGGAATCACTACAGCCCCCTTAGACCCCTGGAAACTTATCGACCAAGAAATTGAAAATAAAATAAACGACATATATAAAAATGTCGTTAACTGGAAACCGCGCTTCATAATTCTAAGCAAGAACAAACCCGGTTTCCAATTCATTAGAATTTTCTGAAACAGCAGCTGTTGTCATAAGTAGACGAAACACCAAATTGTAACGTCGCAATGAAAGCAGCAATGATTCTCCCACATCTGCTGCTCCCCCAAAACTAAATCAAAAATAAGCTGATCAAATTCTAAAAGACTAAGCCGCCGCATAATTGTATGGAAGCAAAGCCTATTAGACGAAATTTTCACCGAAGCGAAAGCTCTACAAATTAGACATCCAAAACAGAAGAAGTCCGAAGTAAACGACGAAAGAAGGCAATTCGATAAACTAATGAGTACAGGCAAAATATCTGCCGCCATTGGCTGTTTTTCAGACAAGAAAACATAAGAAGTACTTCCCCTAAACGAAGTCATTGAAGGAAAACAGTCCTTAGTATCCTGAAAGAACAGCATCCTTAAGCCAAAACAGCGAACACTAACTATATAACTGAAATAAGTGAAGACACCAATGCCTTACCACCCCTCTATATTCGAACAAGTAAACGCCAAGACAGTTCGAAAAAGCAAACCTTAAAAATGCACGAAAGCCCACGGTCCCTCAGGTCTGGATGCGTGCGAATGGAGAAGGCTATTAACTCACTTCAACCAGGCACCCATTGAGCTTTGCAAAACAATTGCTG